ACATTGTGCTGCATCCTCAGACTTGAACAATGTTTTTATACTTCATCTTAAGCTGCTGCCAAGTGCACTTCTACCCCGCAGGATTGCACCTAAATGAAATAAATTAATAGGTTACCATTCAAGCAGTTTTCCCCTGTAATATTATTGCGATTGCAAAGGATGACATTTAAACTTAAGCACTGACCCGAGCAGCAATGTTCTCCACGCCGTCTCCCTCTGTTTTGCAGGTGCACCGGTGTTGCCCTTCTTTTTAAAAACGTGTTCAGGGTGCCTGTATAGCTCAGCGGGTAGGGCAGGCGACCCATGTACAGGGGCTATAGTCCCCGACGCAGCGGCCCGGGTTTGATTCCACCCAGCGGCTCATTTGCTGCATGTCATTCCTCCACTCTCCTCCCCACATTTCTCTGTCTATCTTTTACTGTCACTATAAAAAAAAGGCGGAAAATGCCAAAAATAAATCTTAAAAAAAAAAGAAAAAACTGTGTTCAAACTCGCCTTATGAGCACATTAAGAGTTCCAATTCTTGCGTGGTGAAAAACGCAGCCCTTCGCTTCCCCGTTGCCATGGTGACTCATCGACTCGGGGCTCCATTGATGCTGGCTTTTTATAGCTGTGGTACATGCGCTTAACTCCAGGTGAAACTACTCCGAGTTGACTAAACTAACTCAAATCCTCTGTTCTAGAACTGGAAACTCAGAGTTTCCTATCTCAGAGTAGATCAACTTCAGGATTAGACTCCAAGTTTGTTGAACCTGCTTTGTGAAACCAACCCCTGGTCCACCCATTCGAACGTTGCTGAAAAAACCCTAGTGACCCCTGCATTAACTGATTTCTTACTTTGCACATTGATTTCCCTGCCGTTTACCTGCTCTGTGAAAGGGGTCGTTGGTGTTGAAGACTGTGGTGAAGAAGCCGAAGGGGAAAGCACCAATGCCGAATGACATGTGAAAGCCGGTGTCCCCGAAACCCTGGAACATCTGAACGAACAGAGAAAGTAAATAATAAAATCCACAATGAAGTTTAAAAATAACAGAGAGCACGGTGTGATATGAATGGACTCACCCCTCCTCTGCTCTCGGGTTCTGTTCTCTGTCCCTGAGGCCGCGGCGGAGTTTTCAACCTGAACAACAGAAATAGTCGATCATGAAACATCCTGAAGGCAAACAGAAAAAAACCCTCCGATGGGTGACTGCTTTACCTGGGGTCCTCCTGGCTGGAGCTCCCTCTGCCATACAGTGGGATCACTTTCTCTCTGCTGATTCCAGCCTTGCACACAGGACACTGCTGCCTGCTGGGTCGAGTCTCCAGCCACTGAGAAGAGCAAGCGCAAGAAGAAGAGCAAGAAGAAGAGCACGAAGAAGAGCAGTAGCAAGAAGAACAAGAGCATGAAGAACAAGAGCAAGAAGAAGAGCAGCAAGAAGAAGCAGAAAAAGAATTTGTCATTGTACAAAAAATACAATGAAATTTTGTGTGGTATCATTGTTGTAGCAGCTAATATGGTCACAGTCTAAGAAAAAAAAGCTAAAAGGTGATATAGATAATAAAATAGCAATAAAATAAATGTGCAAAAGAGCATTTGTCAGAAAAAAATAGAGAAAGACATCATTTGAAAGATGTCAACGTGTCTGTCAAACAGATCGGGTCGGCTCATGTTTGTTTGGGATTTGGTGTAAAATAACAATGCCACTCGAAAAACTAAAATACTAACAGTACAGAACACTTTTCAGGTCCCAATTGAACCTGAAACAGTGAGCAACGTAAAGCTCTGTGTTAAGTGCTGAGCAGCAGAGAAAGCTGCGGCAAACAGAGGCATTAAGTGTATTAGCATCTTTAAGCTGCACTAAGTCAACTGACAGGTGCAGCTTCCACGCTGAGGTTACATCACCAACTTATTCTTAAGGTAACACGCACACACGCACACACAGAGGTGTTTTCAACAACAACCCCTGGCAAAAACTATGGAATCACCAGTCTTGGAGGATGTTCATTCAGTTGTTTAATTTTGTAGAAAAAAGCAGATCACAGACATGCCACAAAACTAAAGTCATTTAAAATAGCAACTTTCTGGCTTTAAGAAACACTAAAAGAAATGAAAAAAAAATTGTGGTAGTCAATAACAATTGCTTTTTTAGATCAAGCAGAGGGAAAAAAAATATGGAATCAGGAAAAAAACAAACAAAAAAAAACACTACAACACACCACTCGTACTTTGTTGCACCACCTCTGGCTTTTTTAACAGCTTGCAGTCTCTGAGGCATGGACTTAATGAGTGACAAACAGCAATCTTTATCAATCTGGCTCCAACTTTCTCTGATTGCTGTTGCCAGATCAGCTTTGCAGGTTGGAGCCTTGTCATGGACCATTTTCTTCCATTTCCACCGCAGACTTTCAATTGGATTGAGATCCGGACTATGTACAGGCCATGACATTGACCTTATGTGTCTTTCTTCAAGGAAAGTTTTCACAGTTTTTGCTCTATGGCAAGATGCATTATCATCTTGTGAAATGATGTCATCATCCCCAAACATCCTTTCAATTGATGGAATAAGAAAAATGTCCAATCTTTCAATGTAAACTTGTGCATTTATTGAAGATGTAATGACTGCCATCTCCCCAGTGCCTTTACCTGACATGCAGCCCCATATCATCAATGACTGGAAATTTGCATGTTTTCTTCAGGCAGTTGTCTTCATAAATCTTATTGGAACGGCACCAAACAAAAGTTCCAGCATCATCATCTTTGCCCAATGCAGATTCGCGATTCATCACTGAATATGACTTTCATCCAGTCATCCACAGTCCATGATTGATATTCCTTAGCCCATTGTAACCTGTTTTTTTTCTGTTTACGTGTTGATGATGGCTTTCGTTTAGCTTATCTGTATGTAAATCCCATTTCCTTTAGGCGGTTTCTTACAGTTCAGTCACAGACGTTGACTCCAGTTTCTGCCCATTTGTTCCTCATTTGTTTTGTTGTGCATTTTCTGTTTTCAAGACATATTGCTTGAAGTTTTCTGTCTTGACACTTTGATGTCTTCCTTGGTTTACCAGTATGCTTGCCTTTTACAGCCTTCCCATGTTGTTTGTACTTGGTCCAGATTTTAGACACAGCTGACTGTGAACAACCAACATCTTTCGCAACAATCCGTGATGATTTACCTACTTTAAGAAGTTTGATAATCCTCTCCTTTGTTTCAACTGACATCTCTCGTGTTGGAGCCATGATTCATGTCAATCCACTTGGTGCAACAGCTCTCCAAGGTGTGAGCACTCCTTTTTAACTGCAGACTAATGAGCAGATTTAATCTGATGCACGTGTTCTTTTTGGAAATGGAAATTTACAGGGTGATTCCATAATTTTTTCCTCAGAATTGAGTGATTCCATAATTTTTTCCCTCTGCTTGATCTAAAAAAAGCAATTGTTATTGACTACCACAATTTTTTTTTCTTAATTTCTTTTAGTGTTTCTTAAAGCCAGAAAGTTGCTATTTTAAATGACTTTAGTTTTGTGGCATGTCTGTGATCTGCTTTTTCCTACAAAACTAAACAACTGAATGAACATCCTCCAAGACTAATGATTCCATATTTTTTTTGCCAGGGGTTGTAATTGTGTGTGATCAGAGGCCTCCTCTCAGGACTGTGTGAACATGAATGGTGGCTAACCTGCTGCAACATCCAGCAGACTGACAACACC